AACTAAAGTCACTCCTTACGGCCTACGAAGTCGAACTACGAAGAGAGCAGGCGATACCTGCCGAACAAGCACTGTTTACGAACAACAAGCATCATGTGGGGAGACACCGCAATAATCCAAATCAAACAGTAGCAGATCGGTCCACTGCACATGCGAGAGGAAAAGGAATGCCATCCTCTAACTTTACTGGAAAGTGTCATAAATGTGGCAAAAAAGGGCATAAGAAAGTTGACTGCTGGCAAGGGAGACGAGATGGTGAGCCAAGCAGGGGAGTTAGAGGAGTAAGACAGGATTCTGGGTCGAAGCCAGAAAGAAGGGAGCAGGTGGGGGCCTCAAATGGTCGTGTTTGGTTGAGTAGAGAGCATGAGGTACAAGAAGATACCAGAAGTACTTGTGAGCAGAATCATGCTGTGGAAAGGGTGATGAGAGGAGTTGAGATCCCAAATGAAGTGGAATGGATAATCGATTCCGGGTGCACAAACCACATGACTGGCTATCAACATGTGTTTTTGGAGGGTACCTATCTTTCCCTACCACGAAACCAGCGCCAGATGAAGACAGCAACGGGACAGTTAGTTTCAGCAGCTGGGATCGGAACAGTTCAAACCTATATATGGACGCCAGGAGGTGGCCGCGAATTGCTTTCTTTGACAGACGTACTTCATATCCCCGGAGCAACTGAAGCGGGCCTCATATCTGTCAGCCAACTGACTAAGAAAGGCATCAAGATTGAGTTTATGGATACCATGGCTGAGTTTCATCAAGACGGAATCCTAATAGCCATGGCAGAAAAGCATCACAAGCTTTATAAGTTGATTCAAAATAAGAAGCCTGTGGATTTTGGATTACAGATGTCCTCAAAAGATAACTCCACAACCGTTCTGTGGCACCATAGACTTGCACACCTCCATGTTCCGGCAGTGGTAAAAATGAGCAATGCTGAAGTGGTGACAGGAATGCCATGTTTGCAAGTGAATAATTCGGAGAACCGCTGTACAGCCTGTCTTCTGGGAAAAATGACACGTACTCCATTCAAGACAGCTATACGGAGGACTACGGTACCTTTGGAATTGGTTCACTCCGATCTGTGTGGACCGATGCGCACTCGGTCGATAGGTGGATGTCGGTATTTTATGCTTTTCGTGGATGACTTTACAAAGTTTACGACTGTATATTTTCTCAAAACAAAGGACGAAGCAGCGGGACATTTTCAAAGCTACAAGGCAACTGTTGAAAAGCGTTTTTCTGATCAGGCAAAAAGATATCAGATTAAGGCAATCAGAACGGATGGTGG